ACAGAGAGAAGAATATAGGAAAGGATCAACAACAATGTTAACATTTGTCCAGAGCTCTTGGGGCATCACTCATTTAAAGTATCACATAATGCACAGTGTTCTCCATAGTTGGGGGCAATGCTCCCTCTAAGCTGTGGAGTCCTGTGAGCAAAAATTCTACTTTGTGAGCTGCAGGCATTAAAGTTGTGAGCGAGTGATTTGGCTTCGCATAAACTAGTTTACTCTGGAGCTATGCTTCCTGAGCTAAGAGAAAAATGTGTGAGCCGGAGGCTAAAAAACAGTGAGCTAGCTCACACTAACTCAGATTAGAGGTAACACTGGTTGGGGGGGGGTCTCATTTTTAGTGCACTTTCAATCACTTTTTTAAAAAAGGCAAGGGAAAGGACCTTCTTCAAGAAAGGCTTAAAGATGCATCTCAAGGTCTAGACCTACCACAGGATAATTCTGTACAGCAAAACTGTCTCATTTTGTTGGAAGAAACTCCTTTTAATGAGGAGAATGACAACACAGGTTTGCATAATATTTCTGAAAAATAAATCACAGCTCATTTATACTTACTGAAAATGAAAGGCAGTTGTCAAAACTTCCCTTTGACAACCAGCAATTTGGACAGACCTCTGCTTTTTAATGATTAGATGTTTCCATTGCATCCACAATATTTAATTTGGAAATAATACTTTCCAAGACTGTCAGAGTACAAACAACAATTTGCGTAGCAGCAGCAAGGTGGAGAACTTTAACACATCACAGTTTTCAAGTGGAATTTTAATTCACTTGGTCTGCAATGTCCAATAATGCATATTGTATTTTTCCCCAAATGGCAGATTGATGTCTAACACCATAATTCAAGAGGGGAGGGGGAGACCATCCATTTATTCCTAACAAGAGGAATGCATTAAAGGCTTTTGAGTACAGGAAACGATTATTTGTATCACTTATCCAAATCAGTTTTTACACTAAGACCTCCGATATTTAAAAAGCAAAACAAAAAATTAACACGACCCATAAGATCATAACGGCTGATTGAATTGTTGACCGTGTACCGGAAAGATCAGAGAAAAAACAAGCCACCCATCCCCAATTGGATTCCCACATAACACTTTCTACAGCTCATGGTCCAAGATAAGGGCAGAGGAATACATCCCCTTCCTTTGACAGATCTGACAAAAGTCCACATGAGAAAGGTGTGCAGGGACCAATCCCTCCCCCCAGTCCCTTGCATCTTCCTTCTTTAAAGTGACAGATGAAATATAGTTATTTATTTATAACTCTTATCCTTGCCTTTCATCCAAAAAGCAATGCCAAGTGTTCTAGTACTATGGGTGAGGGAGGAAAAAGTCACCTCAATTAACTTTCTCTATCCCATGCATGGAGCTGTGGTGGCTCAAGTGGTTAAGACGCTGAACTGCAGGCTGTGGAAGGTCAGTAGTTCAGCAATTCGAGACCCGGGTGCCGCATGATGGAGTGAGCTCCCATCTCTAGTTCCAGCTCCTGCCAACCTAGCAGTTCGAAAGCAAGAAATTGCAAGTAGATAAATAGGGACCACTTCGGTGGGAAGGTAACAGCGTTCCGTGCGCCTTGGGGTTTAGTCATGCCGGCCACATGACCACAGAAACGTCTTCGGACAGCGCTGGCTCTTCGGCTTGGAAACGGAGATGAGCACCGCAACCCTAGAGCCGGATTCGACTGGCTTTCGAGCAAGTGAACCTTTACCTTTTATCCCATGCATAATTTTATAAATTTCTCCCATGTCCCTCCGAACATTGATTTCTTTCTCTAAAGCAATAAGTCCCAACTCCAAACTAAAACAATCCTTTTCTCACAGAGACGTGCTCCAAAACCCCTGGTTGTTTTGGTTTTCCGTTTTTGCCTCTTTTCCAGTGCTATAATATCCTTTCTGGGATACTTTGACAACAACTGTACACAGTATTCTAAATACATCCACACAACAGAGCTATACAAGGCTGTTTTATTTTTAGTCCCTTTCCTAATGTTAGCCAATAATAATCCTTGGCACTAAATTTGCCTTTTTCACCACTGATAGGTTGGTGAGACGAGATTCCTTCACAGAAGCCAGGCTATTCAGTAAAGCTTGTTCCTCCACGTGATTAATAATTCTGTCTTCAACAACTGTTTCCAGCAGTTTACCTAGAACAGGCATTAGGCCAGGGACCCCAGCCTTTTCGAGCCCGCACCTTCAGAATTCTGATACAGGGTGGTTGGCACAGCCACAAAATGGCCGCTGCAGGATTTGCCTGAAATAAATAGTCTGTACAAGAGCCATTTGCAACTACAAACTGTCAGGGAATGAGGTCATGCATAACTCTAGTAGTAGTAACTCTTCAACATTTCAGCCAGAAGCTGTTTACTGGGAAGCCTTTTAAAAATGCACATAATGTTTTAAAATATTTTCCTGCATATGCACACCGCTTAGCGTCAGTCACCCAGTCAAGATCCTTGTGCTGTGGTGACAGCTGCTCCCAAAGCAACATTTTTAAAAAATCTGCTCCGCCAATCAGAAGCCCTCCTGGGCAAAACTTCACCCTGCCCACTTTCTAGGCACCAGGAAAAGTGTTGGCGGCTGTTCTGACACCCATGGACACCATGCTAGAGATGCCCACCCAGCTTAAGCTAACTGGTCTGTAACTTCTTAAGATTTCCTTTGGATGCCCTTTTAAAATCAATGTTTCTACCCACTAATCCTCTGAAAGGGAGGCTGATTTTAGTGACAAGTTCATTATTTTGGTTAGGGAAACCCACAATTTCGTCTTTGAATTCCTACGTACTCCCAGAAGCATTCCATCCCAGGAATCTTATTCGGATAGAAGGGGAGCACCGAAATGTTTTAAATAAATACATAATACGAATAAAAATAGCACCTCTGGTGCGGGAAACTACCAATACATTTTCTATGATGATGAAACCCCAATGCAAAATATTAATTTTCTCTACAAACCTCTATAACCTTTCTTTAGCAATCTGTTTCCCTTTGCCCCTCTCGCAGATAAAAGACATCAGCATTGTCCAAAGAAATTAGCCATATGAAACAGGGAATGCGTTTAACATTTTTAGGAATTTTTAAATGTATACATAGTTTTAAACTGTGTTAAACACTGTATCACCCCTATCCTTACCTTACTATACTTATCATTAATCTCTTGCTATTCCCAAATTATAGATGGAAAACTGATAGAATTGCTACCCCACAGAAAACACAGTTGCTTGCCGCTTCTCCCTTGCATCTGTCAGATTAAATGCAGGCATTCAGCAAATACTGGAAGTTTTAGGTACTGTGCATTACCTTTCTTGTTATCAGTGGTTGTGGCCCAAACTGGAGAAAGGGAAGCACCTGAAGCAGTCTCTCTTTTTCATGCAAGGTGCAGAAACAAGTCATGACTGCTGCAGGTATCCCTAGCCCCAATCAATGGTACCGAGATGGATTTCCCCCTTCAGCTGATAACAGGGACTTACAGCACTGCGATGTGTGGTAGCGCCTCTATTGGGAATGTAATATGTTTGTACAGACCACTTATATCAAGCGAGAAATACACAGCTTTTATTTTAAAGTCACAGAAATGCACTGCTTTATGGACAACCACCCACCTTCTTTACAAAAGGCACCTTTTGGCATTTGTCAGTGTGTGCTCAGTTATCTTGAAAAAGCCAGAAAGGTAAAAACAAAACTTTCCCCTATTCTGTATTATTTTCTGACATTTTGCCTTATGTGCCCCCTTAAGGATGCATGAGGAAAACCTCTCTGAATAATTCATGTACACCTAGGCAGAAACCAGCTTCTACTTTTAAATGAAACAGCTGGGTACAAGCAAAGGATTTCTAATTTTTCAGCTAAGCACCAGGGCAGCATGGGCAATGGGAAGTAGTTTCTGAGATGAACAAAGCTATCTTGGACAGATTACCATATAATAAAAGTTTAATTTAACAGACTGTAGTTCAATTACTAATTTAAACAAATTTTTAAAAATGTAATCTTTGTGACAAGTTCTAGAACATTTTCACCTGAGGTAGAGAACAAACTGTCCAGAAAGTTCGGTGCAGGCTTGTTTTAGCGGCACAATACCCCAAACGAGTTCCTCTTACTATACCACTGCGGCCTGGTCTATGCAGCAAAATTACTGGGTTCATTTTCTACTCACAGGGAGCTTTTTATGCAGGGACCAACGTAGCTTGTGTTGCAGTTGGCTGCAGGGCTACAAGGTACTTCTGCCAAATAGGAAGGGTGATGTGGTGCACATTGGAGTGTCAGGAGTTGCCATGAGGTACTGGCTAACATAGCCCACTATGGGCCAGTGATGTAGTCACCTGTTCCCATGCCAGACTTTGCTAGCCACTCAGCACCCATGTGGCCTTAAAGGAGTTATGTTGAGCATTAAAGGAGATATGCTGAGCACAGAGTATCATGGAACTTCACAAAAATATCACGAAATATTTAACCTCATTACATCTTTATCCCACCCTTCCTCTGTGGAACTCAGGGTGGCACACATGTAATTTTCCCCTCATTGTATCCTCATAACGATCCTGTGAAGCAGGTAACGCTGACAGGGAGAATTACTGGCCCAAGATCACTCCATGAGTTCAATCATGAGTATGTATTTGAACTCAGCTCTCCACAGCTAATCAGAGTCTGAGATATTAGTCTGGTTTCAATGCCTAAGGAGTTGGGGTTGTGCTAGAAATAAATAACAAACTAATCGAATCAATGTTTTGGAGTATAGCTCGTGGTTACCTAAATCAACAGCTTTTCCAGACCTTCAACCCACCGTGGACTGCAGCTTGCATCATGGGACCTCTTTGAAGTGTTTCTCTTTCAGACTAGCTTGCCTCTACCTACGTAGTTCTGCCTTCTCCTTCTCTCTGGAAGGCAGTCATGATGCAACCCTCTTCTTTCCCAGTTACTTGAGCCTCCACATTCATACCATAGGGCACGCTCTTCTACTCAGTCTATACTCCCAGTGACTGTGGGGATATTTTGGACTTACCAGTCTCTGCATACTTTTGACGTGTGTTGGGCTGATGGATAAGGCCTCTTCGTACCAACGTTTGGCTTCATCAATGTTTCCCCGAAGTTCCGCTCCGTGACCTCTCATGTAGAGAACGTTGTGAGACATTGGAAAGAGGTTAGCAGCTTCCTGAGTACAGGCTGTGGCTTCTGCAGGCTTCCCGATTCCTATGTATACTTCAGCTGCCGGGAAAAAGAGAGATTAACAGATGTTTTTGCCCAACTGAAGCCCCCACTCCTGCCTTTCACTGATTCTTCGTCTATACAAGAGCTGAAAAATCACCACACTCGTTTAGAACGAAAACAGGGATATACTCAAATACAGAATACTATGTACTTATCGTTATTGGTCAACCACCCCAGGGGCCCAACCAGTCCCTCTGTTTTGCCAAGTCACTTCCACAACTAGAGAAAGAGAACCACTTGGTTTGGTGCCTAATTTGGGCTGAAAGTATACCAGGCCACAGATTCCTCCCCCTACCTCCAAAAATGTGAACTTGGAATGTGAGGATTCAGACAAAATGCATTAAGAGTGGTCCTAAGGACATCTACTTAGAAGTAAATCAATGTTATTCAACAGGGCTTACTCCCAGGGGATACATCCCTTGTGGTGCAGTGGTTAAGAGTACTGAGGAGGTACTAATTCAAATGCCCCGTCAGTCATGAAACACAGTGAATAGACTTGGGACAGCCAAATATACCTCACAAGGTTGTCGTCTCCATAGATTCTTATCTGAGTTGCCTTTGTTTCTCTAAAATACTTAAATTATGCCATGATGCAATGTTAAAATACTTAAATTATGGCCGTGACTGCATTTGTATCGCCTTTTGTTTGAATATACTCCACTTTACTTAATCCCAAACCAACTATAATAGTGAGAGTGAAGGAAGAGCTGGAAACATTCCTCTGTTGTCCTTGGATCTTGAATTATAATTTGTGAACACAGACTAATTAAGAAAAAAGGGTCCAATCAGCCACCATATTATATAAATGCTGATTATAAACAAACAAGTACCCTGATCTTGAAGAGGTAAGTTAAGTGACCCAAATTATACAACTTAAGTCTTTTGCAGTCATTTTGAAAATTATTATGCTTGTGTTTCCTAACTCTGCAGAACCTTAAACATGTTTTTAAAAACATTATTGTCTAAGCTATCAATATCAATCATAAAATATAACAGAAGATCAAATGTTAATCAACACTAATCAGTGTTTAAAAACACTGAATATCAATATATTTAATTCTCACCTTGGCCTCATCTGTGGATATTTAAACCTAGAAACTGAAGCTGCAACCAAAGCCTGGTGGAAGAGCTCCGTTTTACAGGCCCTGCGGAACTTTAAAAGGTCCCACAGGGCCCTGATGTCTTCCGGGAGCTTATTCAACCAGAGTGGAGCCACCAGTGAGAAGGCCCTGGCTCTAGTGGTGGCCAATTTTACGTCTTTCAGACCAGGGAGAGTCAGGCGATTTTGTGACCTTGACCTCAGTGCTCTCTGGAGAATATACAGGGAAAGGCAGTCCCTCAGGTAGGCAGGCCCCCGGCCATATAGGACTTTAAAGGTCAAAAACAGCACCATGAAACGAATCTGGTATGCTATTGGCAGCCAGTGCAATGCCTTCAGCACAGGCTGGATGTGATCTCATATAGAGAGACCCATACATGCACCTACTTTAGCCCTCTCCTAAATCTCTCCTGTATAAGCACGTTCCATGCTTCTGCTTCTACCAAGAATTCACGTTCCTTGCATGAAAATGCATTCAGGAAAAAAGGGTAACTTCCCACCACTAGTTGCTCATGAATAATGGGAAACAGCCTGCAGCTGCGAGGTCATATTATGTGGCTTTTACGTTTCCACTCTCAAGGCCTATCTCAGGTTGGGAGCCCGTCTGTTCTATCCTTTCCCCCAGGATTTCCCCTATGTTGGAGGACGCAAATCCTTGCTTTTCCAACTAGACTTTAGTTGAAAAATTCCGCCATAAATGGCTGGGATGAGTTTGCTGATTTATAGCCATACGTGATATTTTACTATGTACTGTACTTACACAGATTCTCACTGAGTGTGTCTTAATATTTGACACTGATTCTCTGTTTTACTGATGTTACTGATTTTTCCCCAAGAGCTACTGACTTTTTAAACTGCCTTGTCTATTAGAGATTTTTTTAAAACATCAAATACATTTAAAACATCAAATACATCAAAAACATTAAATACACCAATCTACTAATTTAGAAAACAGATTAAGACTACAAACGTAGGCACAAATGCTTAGGAGTAGATCCAATTTCAATAATTAAGGTCTATTTCCAAATATTATTTCTTACATTTTTATTCTCCCCTTCCTCTAACGTTCTCAGAGCAATGCAGACAGTCTCGTTTTACCTTCACAACCACCCTCTATGGTAGATTAGACTGAGATACACTGATTGGTTCAGACCTCCCAGGAAGCTTTGCAGAATTATAACCCAAATCTTTGTGACACTAATCTATGTACCTATAACCACATTGGTTGGAAGACAGACAAAATTTTTAGAATAATCATGCCCACACAGGGCTGCCTGAGCTAAAATAGATGAGCAGAAGCCCTGTACCTGAAGTTAGGGTGAATCAGGTCAGATTGCAGGTAATGAATTGAATGTACGAGTGTTCCACTGCAAAGAATATGCCATATAAAACTAGAATGCCAGGGAAAACACAAGCCTAGAACATCCTCTCTGTCATCCTCATTTTCTCCATGTAAGCTCTTTTATGCAGGTAACCATTAATACACATGAGTCTCCACTCTGCGGGTTTAAATGAAACAACCCAGTAACATACACAACTTGTGGGGCTTCTGTTTGTTTTAACTCAAAATGATTTATTATCTGATATTTCAAAAAGCACCATCTTTTACTGAAACAGTCCTTTACAGGGCCTGACGACATACATGAATGGCCAACTCATCTGTGACCAAACAGCCTTGATTCTCAGCCTCCTCCCTTGCCTGAGATGTAGTGCACGAGAAATCTAACCCAAATCTCTACCACCCTCCTGAAATAAAACACTGATGCATCTACATAAAACTCCCAGTCTATAAACGTAATAATTTAAAGGTGTCTTTTTGCATGAAGCTTACCGTTTCAATTGCCAATTACACATTTCCATTCTAATGCCAGATTAAAGTTCATCAAAACACTGTCAGACTTAATTTCCAGACTTAACTTTTAAATGTCTGTGACTTAAGACAACCTGAGCAGTAGCTGGGAAGGGTGAAAAAAGTCAGCCTCCTGAGTACTAAATGCCATCCTCCCCTTGACCACTGCTGACGTAAATTAAACATACGATGTTCTGGTCTCAAAATGTAACAAAATGCCACATTCTGTCCTTAAGGAGCTCTGACATACAGCCATATCCTGGCCTTCCAAATGAAATGAACACAGACTCTTGCAGCTAATGAGCAAGGACAGAAAATGGCTGCTGCACCCATTTACCTGCATGAAGCCAGATCTGAGCGAGTGTCATCCAAGGATGCAAAGGCCCCTGCTTGGGAGTGCTGCTCTGCAGGGAAGAGGCTACCTCGGACAGCGCCTGCTCCACTCTGGAGGCTGCGATTGAAGTGGCGTGAATTGAACCTGTGGAGTTAATGAAAACAGTTTGCATTAGTAAAGAGCAGATAAATGCCACAGAACAATTTTTTTTTACAAAGATGGTCGCACATGCTATGTTCAATTCTTCATTCTTTACCCTTCAAAATGTAAAGGTGTTACTAAAACTTTTAAAATCTTAACTTTTGAGGCTTTTTCTGATCATCAGAACGTTAGGATTCATGAGCCTACAATTAAAAAAGCCTGTTTTACTATTAGCAGAAATGACTGATGAAAGCTGAGCGGCTGCTATGAATCACACATAGCTTTTCTCTGTCAGTCACAGGCATATACGTTCTATATATATACACACACATACACACATGTAAGCAATAAGATCCAAAGAGGTTTGTGATGATGCTATATGATGTAACTTCCCCTTCCCTCCCTTTACTACTTTGCGCTCCAATGCTTGTCATTGTTCCCCCTGGGGAAAAAAAATGCAGCAATTAGAAGACTATTTTGAGGATAATAATAGATGGACTAAAATAAACTAAAATACATAGAAGAAACCTCAACACTTCCCCTGAACAGAAGCCAATTAAAGCTGCACAAATTGTAAAGATCACTTAATCACCAATATTAGCAACTGGAAGAGTGCACAAAATGGGCACTTTTTCAAAAACGGATATTTTTTATAGCATAGAAAAGAAAATCTGACCTGTAAATATTTGACTCTACCCATTATTTTAAAATATTCTAGACATTAATACATGTAATGTGCTAGCTAAAGATGTGTGTTTCTTCTTTATTTTCCTGTATTTTATTATTTATAAAGTACCTGGACTGTTTTTCTGTTTTAAAAAGAAATGTGAAGTGGCATAATGTAAGCCACTAGTGCCTATTCACCTATAAGTGTAAAGGTCTTGCTGCATTTACAGAGGCACTTACTGAAATTTAAAATTAATATGGCCCCAACATGAATTTCATAATATACACATATATGCATCAGAGGTGAACATTTCATAGCTTTCATCTTCAATATCAAGAAGCTTAGGTCACCAATGAATAAAGAGTAAAGCATTAGATGTGTTTGCAACAACAAATAAAGTTTTAGTATTTTCTGTCATGTTGCAGTATGACATGATCTACTCATATCCAGTTTTCCCGTGACAGAAAATTAAGAACAGAGATCAAATGTATTAATTTTTCTCCATAATAATAATAATTGTTGAAACTATTGAAACTGTTGAAACTATTTTCTTATTAGCCACTCACACAACCATTTACGGTTCTTTGCTCTTTTGGTCTGGCTGAGCGCCTATGTCTTTAACAGCTGCACGTCAAGCAGAAATTTAGCAGACTGAAAACTTTTCCTGGCATGCAGAGGAGGAAAGCTTTGTCAATGGAGTTTCAGCTTGCCCCACAGCTGTTGCAGGCACAAGAGCTTTCTAAAAACAATTCTGGATGAGAGGTGCCTAATCTTTGATCTTGAAGAGTGCAGATTCAAAAGATTAACCAAAAGTTTCTGAAGCAACTTCTTCCACACCTTTAATACAATCTCTTTCAGATCCTTTCTGGATCCATGTTGTACTCTTACACCCTGGTCTTAAGATGTGTTTGCTCGACAATTAAACTTTTTTTTTTTACATTAAGTGCATGCAGGATGTGGGTGCAATGGACCTGCCACTGAACAGAGACCTCTGTACGCTCGTCACCAGCCCAGATCCAAAGAATCGCAGGAAGTGTTCCACACACTCACTGTAACTTTCTCAGTTTACTTCCTGCTGTAGCTTTTTTGTTGTTCAGTCACACAATCGAGTCCAACTCTTCGCGACCCCATGGGCCAGATCACGCCAGGCCTTCCTGTCTTCCACCGTCCTCTGAGGTTTGCTCAATTTCATGTTTGTTGCATCTATGACACTGTCTAACCATCTCATCCTTTGCTGTCCCTGTCTTCTTTGACCTTCAATCTTTCCCAGCATCAGGGTCTTCTCCAGTGAGTGCCCCCTTCTCATTTGATGGCCAAAGTATTTGAGCTTCAGTTTCATTTTCTGGCCTTCCAAGGAACAGTCAGGGTTGATTTCTTTTAGGACTGACTGATTTGATCTTCTTGCAGTCCAAGGGACTCTCAAGAGTCTACTCCAGCACCATAGTTCAAAAGAATCTATTCTTCGCGCTCAGCCTTCCTTATAGTCCAACTCTCGCAGCCATACATGACTACTGGGAATACCACTGCTTTGACCATGCGGACTTTTGTTGGCAGGGTGATGTCTCTACTTTTTATCATGCTGTTTAGGTTTGCCATCGCTTTCCCTCCAAGGAGCAGGCGTCTTTTAATTTCATGGCTGCTGTCACAGTCTGCGGTGATCTGGGATTCCAGGAACGTGAAAAGTCTGTCACAACTTCCACGACTTCCCCTTCTATTTGCCAAGGAGTGATGGGGCCGGATGCCATGATCTTAGTTTTTTGATGTTGAGCTTCAAGCCCACTTTTCCGCTCTCCTCTTTTATTCTGAGCAAGAGGCTCTTTAGGTCCTTTTCACTTTCTGCCATTAGGTATCGTCTGCATATCTGAGGTTGTTGATCTTTTCCCCAGCAATCTTAATTCCGGCTTGTGATTCATCCAGGCCAGCATTTCGCATGATGTACTCTGCATATATATTAAATAAGCAAGGTGACAATATACATCCTTGTCGTACTCCTTTTCCTATGCTAAACCAATCAGTTGTTCCATATCCGGTTCTAACTGTCGCTTCTTGACCCTTATACAGGTTTCTCAAGAGACATGTCAGGTGGTCTGGTACTCCCATCTCTTTAAGGACCTGCCATAGTTTGTTGTGATCCACACAGTCAAAGGCTTTAGCAGTCAATGAAGCAGAAGTAGATGCTTTTTTGGTACTCTCTTGCTTTCTCCATAATCCAGCGAATGTTGGCAATTTGATCTCTAGTTCCTCTACCTCTTCGAAACCCAGCTTGTACTTCTGGCAGTTCTCTATCCACGTACTGTTGAAGCCTAGCTTGTAGGATCTTGAGCATGACCTTGCTAAGCTGTAGCTTAGTGACCCCCTGAAAAGCGGTTCCTAGGATCTGGGAGCCCAATGGAATAGTGTGTGATGTGGGGCAGAGAACTGCAGTTTGGGGAGGTGTGGAACTCAGCATGTTCTCTGTGTGCACGGAGACGTGCCCTTCACTTGTATATGTGGCCTCCTTGGATCCAAACCATGATGTACTTAATGACTTCTTGTGTACTAGCAAAACTATTAGAAGGGCAACTGCTCATGAAAGGGTTTTCATATGTATTGGCACATATAATGATAAGGGAAGTTAAGAGTAATCAGATTTCATCAAGCTTGTAAGCATTAACTATGGTAACTGTCAGTGTTGATGCACCTGATGTTAAGACTGGGGAATAAATGTTCCAGAAGAAAGGACATCTGGTCCCACTTCTAATGGCTTAAACGTGGTTAAGCCTTCAGAAAAGTTGATTTATTTATTTGCTTTCTTATTTAGAAAACTTTCTCTAAAATACAGCATACGCTGCCTTTAAAACAAAAACAACTACATTATTTCCTCTATGATATATACAAGTTATCTCAAAGTATTAGGGTTTTTTCTGTCAGAAAATAAATTGGCACAGCTTGGTATTCAAAACCGTGCAATTTAAATATGCATGAAATTGTTTATTCTGACCTGAAAGTACCCTTTTGTCTACAAATTTTATACTCGCAACATCTAGGCCCTAACAGCAATATCCAGAGTTTCTCAACGGTCAGGTACATTACAGATGGCAAAAGCTGTCTCTATTTCTTTATTCAGATAGCCTGATGCTGCTGTATAGGTCCAACCAATGCCTTACTGCTGTGGTTAAATGGCTGTAAGTGAACAAACTAAAACTGAATCCTAACAAGATGGAGGAAATGATGGTTGGGAAGGCAGCTGTCTTGAAGGGCATTATGCTTTCCGCTTTTGATGGGGTCCAGCTGACACTCACCATTTCAGTCAAGAGACTGGAGGCTGCACTGGAGAAGCAAGTTAATGCAACTGCAAAAAAAAAGAGGCATTTTTCCTGCTTCATTTAGCCTTGAACATGGCCCCCTACTGTGACTCAGTTGACCTAACCCCGTGGATCCATGCTAAAGTCACAGCTAGAGTATTTCACATCCATTCTGCAGACACTCCACTGGTTACTGATCAGTTACAGGGTTCTGGTTGTGACCTATTCAAGTTTCTGATTATCACCAAGAAAGCCCTTAATGGCCTTGCACCCCTGCCTCTCCTGCTACACTCCACCACAGCAGCAGCTTTGCTCATCTGGACAAAGCTTTCTGAGTAAGCCACCATGCAAATGGGTAAGAGCAGCAATTGCCCATTCGTGCACACTGTCTGTGGTCGCTCCCATCTTGTGGAATGGCATGCCTGAGTAGGGCAGGAAGGCCCCACACTCCTGTAATTTCACAGAATGTGCAAAACAGAAATGTTCAAAAGGGTATTTGTTGTTAAAGAACTAGAACTGTAGTATAATGGAACAGCTCAGGAGGCTGCTTTACAAGGAACAGATTTGTAGTCTATTGCAATGTTTATTGTATCACCTTACTTTTATTTATTATTTTTTATTTATCTTTGGATTTATATCCCACATTCTACCTCTGTAACCCGCTTCCTGCATTATCAGTAGCTCTTGCAAATACTCCATTATAAACTGTATTTTGCCACAGTTTACATAATGGTTCTTTATCATCAGTGCCTATCATCAGTGCCAGAGACATGTTTTCAAACTCCCTGTCAACTGCTTGCTTGGTGCAAAACCCAAGTTTTTGTTTGTTCCTAGCAAAACCAGCAACACATAGGCTTGTCAGTCACTGCTGTTCTGTACTGATCTTGCCATCATTTTCTTTGTAAAGGAGAGCTAAGCCTCAACAGTCTAGCAAGAGCTGGGCACTGTGAGGTTTATCATTCTATCAGTTAGATAATTAAGGCAATCCTTGCCCCTCATACAATTTAAGTTCCGTTCTTTAATGACAAACTTCCATTGATGTTTTGCCCACT